AGCAGGGGAAAGACAGAGAGAGAGGGAGACAAAGAACCCAAAGCAAGCTCCAGGCTCTGTGTTATCTGCACAGAGCCCAACACAGGGCTCGAACTCATGAACCATGACATCATCATTTTTTTTTTTTTATACCCATAGTGTGGTTCTTTTTATTTGCATAGTGTGGTTCTTTTTATTTGCAGTCCTTCTTGCTTCACCCCACAGAAAAGACACTCAAAAGCTCAGCAGAGGGGCTGCTGGGGTCGGGGGAGAAGACTGGGAATAGCAAACTGGCCAAGGGGCTCATCCTGGTCCTCAGAGGTACATGCTGTCTGTCATGGCAGAAGGTAGGGAGAAGAGAACCCCCATCTGCCAGTCTGGTTGGAGGAATGAACACAGAGCAGAAGCCATGGGTGTGTGGTGTAAGGGCCAACCAAGCAGCCAGGGCCAAGGAAAGAAGGGGCCCTAAGGCCTGGTGACCAAAGTCGGATGTTTAACCAACTGAGCCACCCAGGTGCTCCCAGGTTGCAGGTTTTTTAAAAAACAAATAATTTTTAAGTCATTCTTTGTTTCCTGAAATCAGGCTGTTGGCAATTTACCATGTTTTAGTTGTATAATAGACTAGCTCTAAAAGTTTATATCCTTTTTGTTATGATCTCAGGCAATCTTCTGGCTTCATTTAGATATTTTAACAGTTTCAGAGGAAGGAACGGTTTGTAAATATGGTTAAAAACCTTTGTATTTATCATTATTTTAATGTTTTATTTATTTTGGAGGGAGAGAGAGAAAGAGCATGAGTAGGGGAGGGGCAGAGAGAGGGAGACCCAATACAAAGTAGATTCTAGGCTCTGAGCTGTCAGCACAGAGCCTGATGCAGGGCTTGAACTCCTGAGCTGTGAGACGCTTGAGCTGAAGTCGGACGCTTAACCCACTGAGCCACCCAGGCACATCCCCTCCCTTTACATATTTAGTAAAATATAAGCTAAATTCTGTCTAATCTTCTAAAGCAGAATTCTTTTTTTTTTTTTTTTTACAAATAGTTTATTGTCAAATTAGTTTCTACATAACACTCAGTGCTCATCCCCAATGTGCCCATCTCCATGCCCATCCCCCCCTCCCCCCACATCCATCAGTCCTCAGTTTTTGTCAGCATTCAAGAGTCTCTCATGGTTTGCCTCTCTCCCTTTCCCCCACCATTTCCGCCCTTCTTCTCCCCCTTGTTCCTCCGTCAAGTTCCTCCTAATCCTCCTATACGTGCAAACATATGATATTTGTCCTTCTCTGCCTGACTTATTTCGCTCAGCATAACACCCTCAAGGTCCATCCATGTTGCTACACATGGCCAGATTTCATTGTTTCTCATTGCCATGTAGTATTCCATGGTATAGATAAACCACATCTTCTTGATCCATTCATCTGTTGATGGACACTTAGGCTCTTTCCATGTTTTAGCTATTGTGGAGAGTGCTGCTATGAACATTGGGGTACATGTGCTCCTATGCCTCAGCATTTTAAAGCAGAATTCTTAACTGACAGATACTGGATCTATCCATGAATAATTAGGAGGGCCTTAAACTCTACGAAATTGAATACATATTCTTGTCATTGATTCATTTATACATTTTTCTGGAAAGTGGGTCCAAATTGTGTTAAATTTTCAAAAGGGTCCATGACTCAAAAAAAAAAAAAAAAAAAGTGAACCATAAGCAACCTTAAAACAACTCCTTGCATCTTTCCAAGGCTAAAACTAAAAAAGAACTTCACTTTGTTTAAGAAGGTTGTGTATGTATTTTGTGTATGTATTGAATCCAACAGTTTCAGTGTTCCTGAGGCATTTAAAGAAGGAGCTCTCTGTAAAAATGTACCGTTTTTCTTTCTTTTAGATTTTACTGTTCACACTGTTTCTTCACCCCTCTTGTGTGACTGTGTAAGTGCCCTGCGGAAAGATGTTCCTATTTCCTAGCCAAGATGTTTCTCTTTTTTAATTTTTTAAAAATGTTTATTTATTATTGAGAGAAAGAGACCAAGCATGAGCAGGAGAGAGGCAGAGAGGGAGACACAGAATCCGAAGCAGGCTCCAGGCTCTGAGCTGTCAGCACAGAGCCAAGTGTGGGGCTCAAACTCACACACCGCAAGATCATGACCTGAGCCGAAGTCAGACACTTAACCGACTGAGCCACCCAGGTGCCCCGCCAAGATGGTTTTAAGAGTGGTTTGAAGTCCGCATGTGGTGGCATTCCAGCTGAGAACTTAGGCAGACTTTGGACTGACTTCAGCCTCTTCCGTAAGCGGTGCTGTCAGCGGACTCTACCGCCAGGACCACCCTGTAGTAGAGGTGCGGTTTCCAAAGTCATTTCAGATCAGGGCTGGTGTGGGGCACTTTAGGCATCAGGTGTCCTCTCAGTTATTTTGGTCATCTGTGTGCCTTATGTGGCGGTCCAAGGCAGGCTGTCAGTGACAGAGTCACTGGCTGCCACTGGAATTACGTGCTATAATCAAATAAAGTGAAGATATTTTAAAGCTGTTACACTCAACTTGTACATCGGTAATTTTTTTATGTTCTCATACATCATAATTATACAGGATACAGATTTTTTTAAAGCAAGACATTTTAAATCTTCCATTACTCATTACTAAGAGAGAACTACAGTTAGCATCTTTAAGATAAATATTTCCAAACATTTAACGGTGATGTATTTTTTAAAAATAAAAGTACGGTGACACTGCTTTTTAAAACTGATCGATTGTAAACATCTTTCTTTATTTCAATGACATATTACAGACAGTAGTTAAACTGCATGCCTAGGTCACCATTGTATTTACTCAGTTCCCTCTTGGACACGTAAGTTATTGCTAACTTTCACTGTCACAATCAGTGCTGTGACAAACAGCCTTATAAATACATACCTTCAGTCGTCTGAGTATTTTCCGGGGGAGGAGGTGGTAGGTCAAAGTACAGCCAATTTGAAAACCTTTATACTTTTGCAAAAACTGGGAGATGGCAACAGTTCATACTTTCACTTGTTTTTGTTTGCAGTAGAGGCAGGCTGCTCTGAGGATCGTACAGTGTGCAAATGTAAATAATTAACGAGTAATCTCGTCTGCAACATAATTGACTCTGAAGAGAAAATGTCAAAGTATTTGAATTAGCCATGATTTTCCCCCACTATTAAGATATAATTGGCAAATAAAATTGTAATACATTTAAGGACTACAATGTGTTGATTTCATATACATATATGTTGTGAACTGATGTCTGTGATTGAATTAATCAATATATCCATTGCCTCACATATTTACCTTTTTGTTTTAGTTTTTGGTGACAGTGCTTAATTAGCAAGTTTCCAGTATTCAGAACGGTATAATTAGCTGTAGTCACCATGCTATACATTAGCTTCTCAGGATTTAATTCATTTTATAACTGAAAGTTTGTGCCTTTTTGCCAAGCTTGAACTTTCCCACTCCCCAGCCCCTGGCAACCACCATTCTACTCTGTTTCTGAGTTGGAATTTTTTGTTTATTTAGAGTCCACATATAGGTAATAGCGTGCAATACTTGTCATTCTCTGACCTGTTTCACTTAGCATGATGCCTTCCAGCTTCGTCTGTGTTGTTGCAAATCTTGTTGCAAGATTTCCTTCTTTTTTAAAACGGAAATATAATTGACATGCAGTTTTATATTAGTTTCAAATGTATAACGTAACAATTCTACAATTACAAACTTTATAAAATGCTCACCGTAGGTTGTAGTTACCATACAGTAACTACTACAGTAGTACTATGTTCGCGATGCTAGGATTTCCTTGTTTTTAAGTGTAAATAATATTTCATATATGTGCATACACTCACCACATTTTTACTCCATTCATTCATCAGCAGATGCTGAGGTTGTTTCCATGTATTGGGCAACCGTGCATAATGCTGCAGTGAACACAGGAGGGAGATACCCACTCATGATAGTGACTTTATTTCCTTGGGATATATACCCGGAAGTGGGATTGTGGGTCATACAGTGTGAGCTAGTCGTGATTGAAAAAGGACATAAGGACCTCCTGCAATTAATAGGAATCATTCTGAAGGCTAGACAGTCACAGACATAGAGTTTAGTCCAAAATAGTGATTCTCAGACTTTTATGTGTGTCAGAATCACATAGGGGAGCATGTTAAACGGTCGGATTTTCGGGGCCCACCCGGAAGCAGATGTGCGGAAACCACACTGAGAAATGCCAAATCAGAATAAGCACGTTAATTAAGTCTTTTGAGATCTGGAAGGATGTTATAGTATATAATCCCATACATGGCAGCTAGCCTGTTTTACAGAACAGCTGTGTGTGAGACTCGGAAAATGTTTAGAGTGAGTTTGTTGTTTAGACCAACCTTAAATAGCAGGCACGTGATAGTAACGATAATTGTTGTTGTAGTCCTTCATTTTAAGTATCAGTTGTAGGACAGATAATTTAAACTTCTTAATTTGCTTCCTTCGATTTGTTTCTTTTAATAATGGCTTGTTTATAATGTTTATATTAAGATCTGCACCGACTAGACTTGTGCCTTTTTCTGTCATTTTCATAAGTCTGTACCTGAGAAGGATGGTGGCTTTGTAACATAATCCCAAGCAAAACCATCTGCCTGATGACAGCTTCAGAATTACGGGGATTAGCCTGTGTAGAGCCTACCCTAAAATCCGATGGAAGTTCATGACAGCAAATGGTACATGTTCTCCACATGTGACTTAACTCCGGTGTCTGACCCGGATGGTGGAGTCAGTTTTTCAGTTGCTTTAAGGCAGAACACTGGGCTAGATGATTTCTCGAGATCTCTAGCAATTCGCATGTCATGTGTGTGACCACTGAGCCTTAGTTTGGAACTACTCGTGGGAGGTGACCGTTCCCGGAATAGGACAGGATGGCTTAAGACACGTGACATCCTGATTGTCTGAATATGAGCTTTCATCAGCCCCCTTCCTATTTCCGTAGAACTCTAGCCCAGCAGAGTTGCTTACAGTGTGTTTTTAATATCTAGGAGGAGGTGGTGAAGTTGACTGAGAAATGTCTTAATAATGCCATTGAGAGCCCAGGATTGAATTCCAGGAGAGTGCCTCCTGACTTGAAGAGTAACATTTTGAAGGCTCAGGTGGAAGCAGTGCATAAGGTAAGCTGCCTTTCATGGGGATAGTCCTGACAAAGGGAAACGAGCATGAACTCCCAGCCGAGAACACTGAAGACACTAAATTACATGAGTGTTAAATAAGGGGGACCCTGCCAGTGACCGCAGATAGTGAGTCGTGCCAGGACCAGGCTCAGGATGGCAGATCGCCTGCCCAAGTCTAAGTCTAAGCTAGTTTGAGAGGAGGCAATCATGTGATAAAAAATTGAGAGAAAGACTCTCTAGGGTATAAGAACTTTTTTTTTTTTTTTTTTTTAACTTTCGTTAGGAACTCCTGGATGGCTCAGTCGGTTAGGCATCTTACTCTTGATTTCGGCTCAGGTCATGATCTCACCATTCGTGAGTTCAAGCCCTGCATCGGGCCCTATGCTGTCGGTGCAGAGCCTGCTGCTTGGGATCCTCTCTCTCTTCCTGTCTCCCTCTGCCCCTCCCCACTTGCTCTCTCTCAAAACTAACTAAACTTCAACAAATATATTTTAAAAAATCTTTTTTTTTTTAATATTTTTTTTGAGAGAGAGAGAGACAGCATCAGCAGGGGAGGGTCAGAGAGAGAGGGAGACATAGAAACTGAAGCAGGCTCCAGGCTCTGAGCTAGCTGTCAGCACAGAGCCTGATGTGGGGCTCGAACCCACGAACCGTGAAATCACGACCTAAGCTGAAGTCGGATGCTTAACCGACTGAGCCACCCAGGCACCCCTTAAAAAAACCTTTTTTAAAAAAGTCAAATTCCTATGGAAGTGAGTTCCTAATCTTCGTCACTTTTATCGCCAGAAAACCTAATGATTTTGAGATTCCTGTCAACACTAAGTCTGCGGTTTCAGGCCTTTAGCAATGTGCTACTTGCCACCACCCATCTGACCTCAGGTTGGCAAAGCTGTGTTACAGGAGTGACAGTTAACGAGGTGAAGGAGTTGCCTGTGACACCTTGAAGGATGCGGTGGGGAGGAGCCCCGCCCCCATGAGGTTCACGGCATTCGTGCTGTCAGAGTCAGCTTTTCCTTGGTGCTCCCTGACTGTCAGACTTACCCTCTGTACTAAAATCAGGACAGAAGCCCATCTCACCGAATCATGTTATCAGCTAGGATTTCAGAATATCCTGTTGTTGAGAAAATGTCCTTTACCCATCTTGTGAAGAGAACCTGAGAAGATTTGAGGAATAATGATCATGCTTTGGTTGTCTATCCTCTCCCCTAGTATAAACATAAAGCATAATATTTGCATATAAAAGTAAATATAAAGTATGATGACACAGCCTCTGGAATCCTGTTTGAATCCCATTTCCAGTCTACCACATACTAGTGTTCTGATTTGGCAAGTTAGTTTCCCTAAGCCTCAGTTTGATTACGTTTAAGAAAGTATAATGGTGGTGGCCTACCTTAAGGTGGATTGCAAGGACAGAAATGTAAAAGACATGGAGTAGTGAGTGCCTGGCACGTGAAGAGCATTTAATTAAATGCTGAAGCTACATGTTGTGTTAGCAGTGTCAGTAATTATTATTGTCATTACCTTACATATCGTTTATCCTTTGGGACTTTTCTTGGCTTGAAGAAGAGAAAAATAACTTGACAGTAAACTATTTGTTAAAAAAAAAAAAAAAGAAGAAGAAGAAGAAGAGAAAAGTAACTTGAAGAGCCCCGAAATAAAAAGATTTTGTTTTATAATTAACAATGTTCCCGTGAAGAAAAATCCAGGGCCAGATGCCCTCATTCTGGAAATCTCCTGAACATCGAAGGAAGAAATAATAGTTCCACACAAACTCTTTCAGAAAACAGAAAAGGAGGGAGCACTTCCCAATTCATTTAAGGATCCTAGTATTGCCCTAATACCAAAACCAGAAAAAGATTTCACATGAAAAGAAACTATAGTCTAATATCCTTCTTGTATACCGACTCAAACATCCTTAACAAAACAGACCCAGGTAGGGTTTATCTCAGGAAAACAGTTGGTTTACAATTTCAAAACCACTCTAGCTGACCATATTAAAAAGTAAAATTGTCTCAATTCCTACGGAAGAGGCATTTCACAGAAATCAACACCCATTCATAGTAAATGCTCACAGCAAACGAGAAATTGATTGGAGCTTCTTCAGCCTGGTAAAGGGCATCGGTGAAAAGTCTACAGCCAGCGTCGTGCGTGTGCCTGAAAACGCATTTGCTGAAATGGCCAGTATTAAAAACTGACCATCCCTCTGCTGGCAGTGACGGCGCTCCTGCAGGGCACATTGCTGGTAAGAATAGAACATGTTACAAGCACTTGAGGAAGCGTTTGACAATGTGTTCAATATACACTTCCTACGTGGCCACGCAGATCCACTCTGAGCTGTGTACCCAAGAGAAAGGAAAATAGGTTCACACAGATTATTAGTACATGAATGTTCCTAGCAGAATTCTTTGAAATAGCTAAACACTAGAAACAACCCAAATGTCCATCAGCAGGTGAACAGGCAAACAAATTGTGGCCTGTCCATACGGTGGACTGCTGCTCGGCACATACAAAGGAATGAATGAGCATCAGGGGTGAATCTCGAAAACCTCATGCTACTCTAAAGAGATAGACACTAAAAAGATAGGCATTGTAATTCACGTGTGTAAAACTGTAGAAGAGACAGTTCACTGTGTCCCATGTATAAGGGGTTTGATGGGGTCCCATTGGAAGCCTCAAGGGGACGTCGTGGGGGTAGTGTTGACTGTGGTGTTGATGTTTCAAAATTCATCAAACCACACATTAAAAATGTGTGCTTTTGACTCTATGTAAATAATACCTCACTAAAGTTAAGGGAAAAAACTGCCCCCCTTAGGAAAAATATTCTAGAATTTCCTCCTAACATACCTCTTGTGTTCAGGGAAAAATAAGAAGCCAGATACATAGCTTAGTATCTGTTTCTTCTTTTTATTAGGTAAATTCAAAAAATTTTGGCATCAAATCTTTTGGGATCCCGTATATATATATTGACTGACACACCAGGGTGTCTTAAATAATTGCGAGCTGTCTGGTAAAGGGGGTGTATGATTGAATAGAAGTGTGGTTATTAATTTGGGGATCGATGGGACTGTACTAAGCGAGGTGCTGATAATTTCCACGTCAGTATGGTGACCAGGGATGGTTGCCTCTGGAACTGAAGCAAAGTGATATTTTTGTTTTTACTGGAAGTGTAAATTTCTTGTTTCTTTAGTATCCTTACAAAGATTTGCTTTTTTAATTTCATTTTCGCAGGCCACAAGAGAAGATAGCTCATTAAGTCCCAAAAACGAAAACGTTCAGGACGCTGCCACAAACAGGTACAGTTCTGGGTTAGACAGAATTAATTTGATGTTCTTTTCCTCTTAACTTTCCTTTCGTTGTTGGGTCTTTTCTCCTGTTCTCCAGGGTTTCACCATATAATTTCAGGATATCTATTTGAAAGATAGCTTGAATTCACTCTTCTATTACATAGCTGTTTACTTCCTAGTTTTAGATTATCTGGAGATAATTCTAATTAGTCTCTACATTCTCATTCCTTTCCTGAATCAGACAGCAGAGCAAAAGCGACATTTAAAGATATTTGTAATCTATATGGTGAGGAATGTATATCATTTCTCTTAACTTCAGTGCCATCCTGTTAACACACTATCCTATTCTTAACAGACTTTCTACTATGGGCTCTTACATCACTCACATAAATTTCTTTGCTGTTCTAAGTCCCTTCTGCCTCTCTTTTCTTTAATGAGAATTAGGCAGTTTATGTGTTGCAATAGACTTTTGTCCCCTACCCCGTGCCAGTCTGTTTTGTTCATCACCGTGTGTCCAGTGTTTTGTGCTTAGTTCGTGCAAAACATTGTTGCATGAATGAGTGCTCTAGAAATGAATGAATGCATTTCTAGTCGAAATGTATTCAGTGAGGAGTTTCCTGATTCATCTCACTCAATTCCAGAGACTGACCAACATAGCCCCGAAGCGTATAGCATGCTTTGTATTGTGTGGTTCGTATTTAGCAAACACACTAATTGATGATCAGGGTAAGACTGAAATTACAGGGTAATTCAGGGAATTGCAATGTAACTTTTTAATTAGCTTCAGTAAATCAGTTGGCCCACGACATTTTATTTTATTTTTTTTAAGTTTATTTATTTTGAGAGCGAGAACGTATGTGATTGCAAGCAGGGGAGAGGCAGAAAAGAGGGAGAGAGAGAATCCCAAGCAGCACTGAGCCTGACACGTGGCTTGATCTTGTGAAATATGAGATCATGACCTGAGTCAAAATCGTTGGACGCTTAACTGACCAAGCCACCCAGGTGCCCCTGGCCCACAACACTTTAAATACTCTTATTATTTAGAGCCTTTTAGAACTTCATTTAAAAAATTCTTTTTTTTTTTTTTTTTTGCCTATAGGAGAATAATGGAGATAGAACAGCCCAATTTCATTGAACTAAGTCTTAAACCTGGAAACACCCTAGAATGTACTCCCAACTTTTAGATTTGTTTTTCTCAATGGCTGCTGATGTTTTGAGTAACCTAGTCTCCCCCTGGGATTTGAAATGTATCCTTCAAGATGTGCTTAAATTCTTGCTTATGCTTGGATCTATTTCTGGACCTTTTCCTATTCTGTTAATCTTTTCTGTAATCTTTTTTTTCCCCATGTCATAGCACACTTTTTAAAAATTACTGTACCTCCTTTTAATATTTCAAGGCTCAGGAAAACTGTGGAGATTATATATTGTCTGTATACCAGATGTCAAGCTTTGTAACATGTTCACATTTTGCTGTAGTAGATTTAGGCTGTTTTTCCTTTATCTTTTTTATTTATTTTATTTCATGTTTTTATAGTTTGTTTTTGAGAGAGAGACAGAGCATGAGTGGGGGAGGGTCAGAGAGAGAGGGAGACACAGAATCGGAAACAGGCTCCAGGCTCTGAGCTGTCAGCACAGAGCCTGACGTGGGGCTCGAACTCACAGACGGTGAGATCATGATCTGAGCCGAAGTCGGAGGCTTAACCGACAGAGCCCCCCAGGCGCCCCAACAAGTCAGTGCTTTTCAGTATGTTGACAAAGTTTTGTACCATTAACACCATCTAATTCCTTAGCGTGGTCATCACCCCTAAGAGAAACACCACACCCGTTGCAGCCTCTCCACACACTGGCTTTGCTTACTCCTGACAGTTCATGTAACTGGAATCACACAATGTGTGGCCTTCGTGTCTGGTTTCTTTCGATTTACAGAGTGTTTTGAAGGTTCATCCATATCGTATCATGTATCACTACCTCAGTCCTCTTTGGGGCTGAATAATATTCCACTGTGTAGATAGACCCCATTTTGTGTATCCATGTGTCAATTGATGGACAATTGGGTGGTTCCCACCTTTTGACAATTATGAATAAAGCTTCTGTGAGCATTCACATAGGAGAGTTTTGGGGGCGCCTGATTGGTTCAGCCGGTTAAGTGTCTGACTCTTGATTTTGTCCCAGGTCATGATCCCATGGTTCGTGAGTTTGAGCTCTGCATTGGGATCCACACTGACAGAGTGGAGGCTGCTTGAGATTCTCTCTCTCCCTTTCTCTCTGCCCCTCCCCTGCTTGCGCACACACACTCTCTCTCTCTCAAAATAAATAAACAACAACAAATAATTTTTGTAGACATGCTTTCAGTAACCTCGGAGGGTTATTGCTAAGTCATTTAGTAACTCTCAGGTTCAACTTTTTGAGGAGCTCTGTCTTCCAGAACAGCTACAAGGTTTTCTGTTCCCACCAGTGTGTTTCCCCACGTTCTTGCCAGTGCTTGTTCTCCATCCTTAGAATTATAGCCATCCTAGAGAGTATGAAGCATGTCTCGCTGTGGTTTGATTTTTTTCATTTGCCTGAGGACTAATGATGTTGGATGTCTTTTCTACTTTGGAGAAATGGCTATTCAGATCATTTATTTTTGTAGTAACAATTTCACTGAGATAAAACTTAAATGCTATGGTGGGGGGAGGGGCATCTGGGTGGCTTAAGCCACTTGAGCGTCTGACTCTAGATTTCAGCTCAGGTCATGATCCAGGGTCATGGGATCGAGCCCCACATTGGACTGAGAGTGGAGCCTGCTTAAGATTCTCTCTCAATCTCAATCTCTCTGTCACCCCCTCCTGTCTCCTCTCCCCTCTCTCCCCCCTCCCCTCCCTCTCTTATCTGGGTGCATATGCTCTAAATAAATAAACAAACATGCAATTCACCCATTTAAAGAATATAATTTAGTGGGTTTTGTTTTCACATATCTGAATTTTAAAAAATTATCCATGGTTCCTTCATTTTAACTGCCATTATCTAAGCCAACCACGATTTACTCATTCTTTTATTAATGGACCCGTGTTTGTTTCAGTGTACATGTCCTTCCTTACACATGCTGTCAGGATGTGTTAAGGTGCACACATGGAAGTGAACTTGCTGGGCTGGGACATACATGGAGAGGAATGGCCGCAGGATGTTTTCATCTTTCCATGTTTTGCAGCAGTGTACACTACATGACTAGCTTTTTCTTGAAGGTGTGGGAAAATTCACTGTAAAACATATTTCCCTCCATCTAGTGCTCCCTTTTTCTTACATTGAATCCTTTCCTCTGAGCTGTTTCTTCTTTCTGAAGCACAAAGTTATTTTCTCTTCTACTTCCCTGCTTGCTTATTCTTGAAGTTCTTCATTTTCATCACTGTATTGTCCAAGAATAGCTTTAAATAAAAACAAAACTTTTTTTGGTTAGTACTCAAGGTGGCCTTTCAGTCTGAAGACCTGTGTCTTTCTTCAGTTCTGGAAAATCACAAGCCGTTATCTTCTTTTTTTTTTTTTTTAAATTTTTTTTTTTAATGTTTTATTTATTTCTAGGAGAGAGAGAGAGACAGCGTGAGCAGGGGAGGGTCAGAGAGAGAGGGAGTCACAGACTGAAACAGGCTCCAGGCTCTGAGCTGGCAGTCAGCACAGAGCCCGACGCGGGGCTCGAACCCATGAACCACGAGATCATGACCCAAGTGAAAGTCACATGCTTAACTGACTAAGCCACCCAGGCGCCCCATAAGCCATTATCTTTTTGAATGTCTAATATGCATGAATTGAAACGTCTTGATCACTTCTCTGTTCCTCACAGCTATTCCTTTTTGTTTTTTGTTTCCCTTGCCTCTTTTTGCCTCAGAGCTGTAGATGCAACATTCCAGCTTCTGCTTCACCAGTTATGTCCAACTTTTTCAGTCTGGGATTTATGTGTCATTTTTTCGCATTCTCCTTGTAGCCTTCCGGCAGGAACTGCTACTAGGGGCACCCTTTTCAACGACATTCGGAAGGATGTAGATGTCCTGCTGGATGTGTTACCTTGGTGGATGACGGTCATTTGGCTTTAGATGTCCCCCCTTCCCTCCCTGGTGCTGAAGCCATCTGTGACCCTGCTCCTGTCCTAATTATTCTTATCTGGGATTGGCCCCCGATGCCATTCCTGCCAGGCCTGCGGGTAACAGGGACTCTGGCATCCTGTCACCTGGCTCATCTTGTTGTAACACACAGCACTCTGGATGTGGTGTCCCCTCTGCGGCAGGGCTCTGCGGCCTGTGTCCCTACGTGGTGGTGCCCCCTCTGGCTTCCGGACTGTCCTCCCGTATCGCAGGCATTCTGGTTAGTTTCCAGGCCACCAGGCTTTCCCCATTCACAGATTTGTTAACAGCTTTTAAACATTGGCTTCTTGATTTCTCTCTCTTGTGCATCTGCCTTCGTTAAAGATAAATCATTTCTGAAGCTTCAATGAGATTTAGGAGGGAAGCACAGTGGTGGGCCATTTTGATCCATCCGTGCCTGAGTCTGACATGGACATGAAAGTTGTCACGTGGTGGGTGGGGAAGGGCCCTCACAGTGGCACACGGACGCAGCACGGCCGTCACTGTTCCTCACAAACCATCATTTCTTCTCCCTCTATGTGAAGCATTACTCTTCTTCGAGAGTGCTCCTTGGGCCCGTGTCGGTGCTCCGAGCTGTGAATTTATCTTTGTCTTGCAGCGCTGTGTTCCCTGAGGGTGACGCGCCCCTCCCTGAAGATTCTCTGGCTCTGACGCAGACGACACCTGCGGCCAGTGGTTCTGTTCTTAAGGTAAGGACACTTCCTTTGGGAGATTCCTCTGGAGACCGAGCTGAGTTGAGTCCCGCCGTGTGCCCTCGTTCACCTGGTGGTTCCTGATGGACAGACACGCCGTGAGGCAGACACCGCGCCTCCCGTCTCTGGGGAGAATCCGTGGTCACGTCTCTCACAAGAGTACCTCAGGGTTTCTTCCGTTTCTCTGTTACTTGTTGCTCTTTTTGTTTTAGGTGGCCTTTGTATTTTTGTGCTTTTGATGCTGGCTGTGCCTCCCTGGTATCTCAAACGATAGATGACACGTAGTAGGCACTAAGCCAGTGTTAACCGAAGCCCCAGCGGCCTGTCATTGTGTTGGCAGGAAAGTCAGCTCATCACGGCCGCTGCCTTCCCGACAGCCGCTCGCCACACGCGCACCAGTCCAGAAATCAGACCCAGTTCACTGCCCATGGAATGTCTTAATCGGCGAGTGAAATGAAAAATTGGCCTTGCAAATGAGTGTTTGCCACTTTGCTCTTCACATAAGAGCAGTTATTGTAAAAATTTGCCAAATACTTCATAAAAAGAAAAAATTAGGAATCTCCTATATTCCCACTGTCCAAAGACAACATGTAGTTCATATTTAGGTGTATAATTTTTCAGGCTTTTGGGTTTCAGAAAGTCCAGCCTAAAATAACTTCAGGCAGGAGCTTCCTTTCTGCCAGTTAAAATCCTAAAAAGCCATATTGATATCTTTGGTCATTGAAATTGAAGCGGAACCTGAGATTTGTTGGAACAGAGAAGGACATTTAATTCAAAGGTTTATTACATATTATAATATGTACCAGAATACATGCTAGTTTCAAAAATTCAGAAAGGAATGAAACACCGCCTCTTTTTTCGGACTGAATTAAAATTCTTCAGAGAGAATTTTAATACTTTGTGGTGGAGATAGGTACACGCTGTTTGGGGGCCCTCGCCCAGGCCACAGGGTGGGAGGGGGTGGTATAAGAGGAGAGAGCTGTGGGAAGTGAGAGAATAATTTTTTCCTATGTGTGATTAAAATTAAGTTGAATGTTGAGATACAAATGGGAGATTGGCCACAGGCTCAAGGCAGATGGATAGAAATAGAACTCTCTCCACCAAGGGCTGTTTTCATTAGGTGTTCTAGACCCTAACTACTTATTTCTCTTATCTCCAGGTTGGAATTTTATCTTTTATTCTCTTTAAATTCTTCCTACCTACCTACCTTCTCTCTCTCTTTCTGTCTCTCTGTACAGAGCTTCATCTTCGATAAGGGGCCTCAAGTAGTAATTAAAACGTGTTGGTTACCATTTAAGGGGAGGTTCACATTGTAGTCTTCTGTGGACGGCGCTGTGCTGGCACATCTGGACTAGCAGTGTGTGGGGTCTCAGCGTCGTCCTCACTGTGCTGAACCTCCCACCTCTCTCTCAAGTCTAAGAACCAAGAGCCAGAACAGTCTCAACCTCACCCCAGTTTCATCTCATCTCACCGAAAGAGTAGCTATGTGAGGATCTCACGTAACACTTTATCGTTTTCAGCCTCTGATTGTAGTCTGGCTCCCCTTCAAGCAAAAGTGGAATCACTATAATAACCATGATTCCCGAATGGCCCTGTGTTCTGAAAGGTTAACACACCAACCAGGCCTGGGTCAGAATTGTAAACTGAGAAGATACGGAAAGAATTCAGTTTGGTGGTTAGTGATTCACTGAACAGCCTTGTATTTTGTATCTTCCCTAGGATGCTACGGATGAGTTGGATGCCTTGCTCTTATCTCTGACAGAGAATCTAATTGACCACACAGTCACACCTCAGGTAAATATGCCTAAAACAGCAGAGTGGAAAGGAATTTCTGTTTTGGAAAATGTTCCTGTTACATTCCAGTTTTTGCCTTTTTTAAAAAAAAAGTTTATTTATTTTGAGAGAGTGTGTATAAGTAGGGGTGAGGAGCAGAGACAGAGAGAGAGAAAGAGAGAGACAGAGAGAGAGAGAGAGAGAGAGAAAGAGAGAATCCCAAGCAGGCTCCATGCTGTCAGTGCAGAGCCCAACTCGGGGCCTGATCTCACGAACTATGAGATCGTGACCTGAGCCAAAATCAATAGTTAGACGTTTGACCAACTGAAGTGCCCCCAGTTTAACCATATAGTAAAGCTGTTCATTTAATAAGAGGCCGTATCTCAGTAACCACTCAGCCTTGCCTTTTTCCTAAAATTTCACCACTTTGAATTTAAGTGTCACTGTATAGAAACCACATGTTACTATATGCCTGTTTGTGATTCAACACCGTATTGAATAACAAGAGAGGAAGACTGTGGGGATAAACAGAAGGATGTAGAGCAGAAAAATGGTGGACATTGAACCAGCGATCAATATGATCGTTATTGCAGTATGGGGGGTACTGTGTGCGGTACTGTGACCAAATTCGAGTACCAATAAGAAACAGTTCTTTCCTGCCAGAGACCTACTATCTAGTCGGGATGAAAGGTACACAGATAACTCATTTAGTGTCTTATGAGCAACATGACAAGAGCCGTGCTGACAGCTCAGAGCCTGTTTCGGATTCTGTGTCTCCCTCTCTCTCTGCCTCCCCTCACCCCTCACTTGTGCTCTGTCTCTCTCTCTCAAAAATAAATTTAAAAAATTTTAAAAAGTAAATAAATAAAATATGCATTTTATTGAGGGAAAGTTTTTTATTATCATATTTTTATGTTTATCTCATTTATAGTTAGAATTCTCAAGGAGTGTGGAACATGTAATCATAAAGTTCCATCTTCCCCGAGAGGAACAGAGGCAGAAAGAATCTAAAATTTGTAGCAGAAGTATATGTTACTAAGGCTAGAAAAAAGTTCTGGAAAGCACTAAGATTCCCATCAGTTTGGAAATCAGTAAATATGTAAAATAAATATGTGACCAAAAGACATCTCTAAGACCAATAGGATAGTATCCAGTTTTTTAAAAGTCAGATGCCCAAATTAATTATACCTCTCAGCCCATAGCAGACTCTCCTCGTAGGTCCGTGCAGGTCTCCTCTTTTGTTTGCCTTATGTTTTTTCCTTTGTCCTTCATTCCTGACTTCTGTTCCCCCTTTCCTCCGAGGCACCCATTCCACTGTTTGCTGTGTGTCCTTCCAGGCACCTTTCATATATTTATTAGATAAACATCTGGGGAAAACAGTACGGAGGTTCCTCAGAAAATTAACCATAGAGCTACCGTATGATCCAGTAATTCCACTCCTGGGTCTTCACACACAGAAAATGAAAACGCGAATTCAAAAAGATCTGTGCACCCTTGTGTTTATTGCAGCATTATTCATAATACCCAAGGTACTGAGGCAGCCCAAATATGCACTGATATTACGTGAATGGATAAAGAAGATGTGTATACATACGATGGAATATTAGTAATAAAAAAAGAATGAAATCTTGCCATTTGCAACAACATGGATGGAGCTAGAGGGCACCATGTTAAGTGAACTAACAGAGACTGAGACAGACAGATACCATATGATTTTATTCATGCGTCCAATTTAAGAAACAAAACAAATGAACAAAGAAAAAAGAGACAAACAATAAAACAGACCCTTAAATACAGAGAACACACTGGTGGTCACCAGAGGGGAGTTGGGTGGGTGGATGGGTGAAGTAGGTGCAAGGCATTAAGAGTACACTTACTCGATGAGCCCTGAGAAACGTGTAGGATTGTCGAATCATTATATTGTGCACCTGCAACTGATATAACTTCAAAAAACAACTTGACATTTCTTTGAAGGTGCTGTGGGAGAATTGGGGATAAATACCTCCAAGTAGTAGTGCTGGATTGCAAGCATATATGAATACTAGGTATTGCTCGCTGCACCCAGAATGGCTGCTGCAGTTACATTCCCACCAGGTTTTCCTTACACTGCATTTTATCTGTTTTTCTAATACTTTCCCTCTTTATGGGATTGTCTCATTGTTACAGTTCACATGAGTTAAATGGTATATTTCCTCCATTATTTTATTGCTGATTTAAGTTTCCTCTGGGAGTGAGTCACCTATTCATTTCTTTTACCCATTTTTCTATCGGGTTTCCTGTCTTTTTCCTGATGATTTCAGGGATTTCTTGTATAGTCAGTCTAGCCGTTAATAACATGTCAGCCGTAGGTATTAAAAATATTTACTCATAACCTGTATTAACACATCTGAGGCATTTTTATCACTGTCATTTTAGCAAGTAGCAAGGAGATTGAGACAGTCCATGTCTGTCACTGTGGAGATAGAGGAGTGAAATAGGCATATACGCCCTTGACTGGACAGAAACCTTTTATTCTGATGCCATGCATTCTTCATTTTCTCTCCTTATAGTGTGGGGCTTAGGGCTTGAAAACATCCTTCCCCATCTGCCACCCCATCCCCTGAGATCAAAGGTTTCCTTTCCTAATAGCTTTCATTTTATTTTACGTTTCACGTTTAGATTTTAACCAATTAGAACAGTTTGAAGTTTTGGGGGAGGATGTCAGCTGTGGTTTCGATATGACCCAAATTTGCATTTATCCATAAAAAGATCGAGTTTTCCCAAATATATCTACTACATAACCCATCCTTTCCCAGTTGGTGTGTTACTGATGCACTGGCCTCTCCCACTTTCCCCTCTACTACTGTGTGCATTACTCTGGCTTTGTGCTGATATCTGGTGTATTCTTAAAATTTCAGCGTCAGTATGGCAGATTTTCCCCAAAATTCTGCTGGCATTTTAATGCAGTTTATATTAAATTTATAGACTCTTTTGAGAAAAAAACTGGCATTTTTATAATATCTTTTCATTTTCATGAACATGATAAATATTTCTGTTTTCTCTCATCTTTATTTTAGTCTGTAAATGTTCTCTATAAATCTTGTTAGGTTGTAGGTTAAATCCTACATACTTTATAGTTTTGTTATAATTTTGCTGAACTGTGAGTGGTAATTTATTTTTTATAGTTGAACTTAGAAGTTAATTCTGTGTCTAACACAGTTGCTGAATTCCTTCATCAGTCCATCTGCTGATTCTCTTTAATATTCTATCAGTTTCTAGAGTGTGTTTCATACCTGTATCAATTATTGGTTAATTCACTTCTCATCTGTTGCTAAATGTGTCAGTTGTTGTTTGTATATTTTGAAGATCTGCTGTGAGATACATGTATATTAACAGTAATTAAACTTTCTTAAACTCCTTTGAGCACTTTAAAGTGTCCTTTTTTGCCCCTATTCTTTCTATTAAGTTCCCTTGTGACTGATATAAAATTGATACCCTAGCTTTCTTTTAAGTTTCTATTGCCTAGGATATCATTTCCTTTGCTTTATTTTTAGTCTTTTTGCATCTGATGGGGTTTTTAAAATTTTTTTAAATGTTTATTATTTTTGAGAGAGAGACAGAGAGAGGCAGAGTGAGAACAGGGGAGGGGCAGAGAGAGAGAGAGAGGGAGACAGAATCTGAAGCAGGCTCCAGGCTTTGAGCTGTCAGCACAGAGCTGGACGTGGGGCTTGAACTCACAGACTATGAAACCATAACCTGAGGCAATGTCAACACTCAGCTGACTGAGCCACCCAGGCGCCCCTGCATCTTTTAGTTTTAAGGTTGTTTTTTTTTTTTTAATGTTTTTTTATTTATTCCTAGGAGAGAGAGAGAGAGACAGCGTGAGCAGGGGAGGGNGAGCTGGCAGTCAGCACAGAGCCCGACGCGGGGCTCAAACCCACGAACCGCGAGATCATGACCTGAGCGAAAGTCAGACGCTTAACCGACTAAGCCACCCGGGCGCCCCTAGTTTTAAGGTTTTAAGTGAACTTTTGTGAACAATGGTTTGCTGCATCTTTTTTTTGTTTGTTTGTTTTGTTTTTTGAGAGAGAAAGAGAGACAGAGAGAGAAACAGAGCATGAACAGAGAGAGGCAGAGAGAGAGGGAGACATCAGAAGCAGGCTCCAGGCTCTGAGCTGTCAGCACAGAGCTTGAACCCAGGAACCACAAGATCGTGACCTGAGTGGAAGTCAGATGCTCAACCCACTGAGCCCCCCAGGCGCCCTTTTATCTTGTTTTTTAAATCTTATTTGAGGTCCTTTATTCTCTGATGGAGTTTAATACATTTACATTTACTGTAATTATGGTTATTATAGGATGTGTTTGTGCCAGACCATTTTTGTTTACCATAGATTCATATATTCTTTTCTCTCTCTTTCTCTCTCTCTCTGTCCTTTTTATGTCCTATAGTAAAAATACATTTACTTACTATTGGTGGGAAAGTCATACTTTGTATTTTTGTTCTTCTGGTAGTCACCTAACTTATAATGAGACCTGGACTTACGATAATTTTTCCTTATCAGGATCTAAGGTCCCCAGTCTAGGAACTAGTCTGAGTTTCTGTAAAATAAGAGGAGTTCATTAGATTATCATTCTACACATAGAAGTCAAATCTAGAAAATTAAACATTAAAAAGAATGTAACAAAGACCCTGTGAGTCAGGAGCAGTATGAATGTTTCTGTATGTGTGCAGGATAATCAGAGAATGACCCGTATATAAACAGATTTTTCTTTGTATGTTTTTGTGCTATTAATTTGCATTACTCACAATCCACTGTTCAGGAAGCTGCCAAGCAGGCTATATTATTTGTAATGAACTGAAATGTCAGAAAATAAAATGTTAAACTAGATGTCAGGGTTGGGGATCGAGGGAAGTCCATTAATAAGGAACTGAAAGTAGTAGCAGCATTCTTGGAGTAGGACATTTTTAAGTTAAAGAGACTCCCAAAATCGTGACCATTTCTTAAGTGGGGAGTATGACACCTGTGTCATAGAAAAGGATCTCAGATTCAACGTGCGTGTCCACTCCGGGGGAACCATTCAGAACCATGCGTTTTGTAGTAGAAGAAAGCATTATGAGAATGATTATGAAAATAAGACTTCTGTAAAGTAAACACATATATAACATTTATTTTAGGTATCTTCAGCATCCATGATCACACCACGGTGGATTGTGCCAGTAAGTTAACGATATTGGCAGTTTTTTCTTTTGGTTATGCTGTCAGAGTGAAGCCTGAGGAGAACCAGGCTCTTGTTTTTCCTTAAAAAGGCAGGGGTGTTCCCAGAGTTCTGTTAACTGAGCTTCATGGCTTCAAACTAGCGATTTAATTTTTCTATTTGTAAATGCTTAAGGACGCTGACAAAAACAAAAATAAAAATCTGAGGTGAAGGATGGTAAAAAAAAAAAACCAGCCGTGACCATCAGGATCCTCTTACTTCTGACCGTGACCATTAGAGAAAGTGGCTGGGAGCCGGAGGGTTGACGCCTGGGTCGGTGCTGTTGCCTCTGCTCACGTGCCTTGTCCATCTCCCTCAGCAAAGCCGTGTCCTCTCTGACGGGCCGGCGGCAGGCAGACCGTCCTTGGCGGGGAAGGAGGGACGTGGTGGTAGAGAGGCGATCTCGCTGATTTCCCCGCCAGCACCCTTCCTGGTGGATGCTGTGACCAGGTGAGGAAACCACTTTTCCATCGCAGTTCTTAGGCACCTGTTCAGAAAAAATAATAAAATTAATATACTGATAGCAGTAATGCCAGTTCTCCCTTAATCAAACTTAATTGAGACTGGATACATTTTTTCTCTGTTTATTATTTAGAATAGTGGGTTTTTTTTTCTATTTTCTTGTCAGTAAGTCTTCTACAAAATTATGAAGTAGGCCTTATTATTAATAGTTTTTGTATGAAGTCTTCATAACTGTTATAGGTTTATCTTTAAAAATGTATATTTAACACTCGTGTATGTCTTTTCCTTTCATGCTTTAACTATTAGTTGTCCATAGTAAGGTGAAGAGTCACACATTAGAGTGAGAGAGGAGATTCCCAAGGTGAGGCTCTGACACACCTTTTGCTGACACCTGGTACAGGCTTATTTCAACACATTGCATGCCACAGACAGAAGCTGGACTCAAAACACCTTTTGTTTGGCATGTAGGTCTTCGGCTTTTCGTTGTCAGGGCCAAAACTGTGCCCGTTTTGCAAAAGGTGATACCATTGCCTTCATTCTCACCTCAGACTATTCTGATTCTGTCTGTTCCTCATAACCTCTTTGGGTGGTGGGAGTGTAAGTCCGTTGAAGTAGGTGCTTTCCTAATAGAGAAAAATTTCCTAGTTAATTGAAAAGATGATTAGAGCTGATTAGCTGGAGAGAAATTGATAGTTTCATTTTAAAGTTGTTTTCTTATCTCCACAGCCTTTCAAGTAATAGAATCACTCACTCAGCAAACACTTATTGAATGTCTGTTCTGTACCAGGCCTTGATTTTATCTGGTTTGGCAGCATTGAAGATGGCAGTGAGCGAGGCAGACATGGGACTTGCCTTGGGGAACTCACATACAATTGTCAAATAGCACCTTATACAATCTTAATAGGTTATTTTTCTAAGCGCTTATATGCCCGATAATTGCCACTGTAAAAATAGAGATTACATGCAGAGGACCCGGTGATAATGCTTTGTAATTGAGTTTACACAATAAAATATGAGTTCTTAAGGACTTGTAAATAAAAAATTACAGATGAAAGAAGAGATTGTCTGCACTCCTTCCCAAAACAAAGCAGTCATAGAAGAATTCAGGAGATCAAAGATGACAGCAGGGCACCTGAAACCAATATAATGTTATGCCAGATATACCTCAAAAGAAAAAAAAAAAAGAAAGAAAGATAAATCAGTGGAACAGAATAGAGTCTAGAAACAAACCCATACATACACGGTTACCTGATTTGTGAAAAAGGGATGGTGCAGTGCTATAAGGCTGATCTTTCAGTAAATCAGCTGGACAGATTAAACACCCATGAGGGAAAAGATTGATCTTGACCCAACCTCAGAAAATAAACAAAAATCCATTCTAGATGGATTCAGGTCTAAATGTGAAACGTCAAATAATAATAAAGCTTTTCGGAGAAAACATAAGCAGACATCCTGGAAATCAGGAAAGATTTTTTAAACAGGTCACAAAAATCTTTAATCATACAGGAACAAAACCGATAACTTGGATTATATCAAGAACTTCTCTTCATCAGAAGAAGTAACTGGACGATCTCAAAAGGGGGAAGCCACAGAGTGAGAGAAAATATTTGCACTTCCTCCCGCCTCCCCATTTATCTCTATCTCTCTGTCTTTGACAAAGGACTCATATTTAGAATATATAAAGAGCTAGTGTAAATCAGTAAGAAAAAAAATAGCTATAGAGAAAAATTGGCAAGACTTGACTAGGCAGTTTACCAGAGGACCTCCAGATGGCTAATAAACATACAAGACAGTGTGCGGTGTGACTAGTCATTGAGGAATACAAATTCAGTTCTCTTGTTTTTTTCATCTGCATGCTGGTTACAAAGGTGTGTTCAGTTTGCAGAAAGTCATCAAGCTGTAACCTCATGCTATGTGTATCATTATATGTGATAATCATTTTTTTTTAATGATAAAGGGTCACATCTCTACAGTTCAGATTTACTTTGGGTGTTGTGTGTAAAATTCCACTTTAAAGGCATAAGAGCACAAGGACAGAGAGCAGAAGAGAAGACCACAGCACTTGAAAGACCTCAGGCTGTGGAAGCAGAGAAGTAGTGGTAACGAACTTTGCAGAGAAGAGAAAAATGACATCTAAGCCTGAAAAGGGGAGGGGGTGGAAACTGAGAAAATAACAAAGCTGGCCAATATCCACTGCAGAACCCTGGGAAGGCTCAGGAATTGGAGGCACCAGGTATTTGTGAAGATGGGGCTGAGGATATGAGGACTGGTTGAAGAGATTTCTACCGATGTAGGGTATACCCCCCTCCCAACCTCACCCCACCCATGCCAGCATGATTCTGGAGGGTTTTGTGGAAGAGCTGGGCCAGAGGGGCTCCAGAAGTGAAGAGTTTCTGTTTAGAGTAAGGCCCTGAGCTGAGGACAGAGGTTAACTCAAAGTCCATCTACTGAAGTCAGGTGAGACAGCCAACCTTCCTTCTTTCTCGGCTTCCAGCATGTTGTTGGCCATGTAAAATGTCTCAGCTGAGAAATTAGGAGGATTATTCTCTAGAGAAACTGACAAAGAGAAAAGGCTCACAGAGTCTAACATTTGTGGGTGCCCTGATGAGATTGCCAGGAAATCGGCCTGGTCACTCTACAGCATGCCCATCAGTTAGTGAGTTTTGCTTCTGGGTACACTTTCCACATGGCATTCCAGTGCTTCACTTAAAAAATTTTTTAATGTTTATTTTTTGAGAGAGAGAGAGAGACAGAGTATGAACAGGCAGAGAGAGAGGGAGACACAGAATATGAAGCAGGCTCCAGGCTCTAAACTGTCAGCACAGAGCCCAATGCAGGGCTTGAACTCACAAACCGTGAGATCACAACCTGAGCCGAAGTCAGACACTTAAATGACTGAGCCACCCAGGCGCTCCCAGTGCTTCACTTTTAAATATGAATGGGTGCTTCCCTCATAAGTGCAAAGAGGGCGAAAAACTATCAGATGTCTGAGGAAAAATTAATTAAAACCGGTAAACTGAAAAAGAAATGGGGGAAGGAAGGGAATGTGAGCATCAAAGACTTCAGAAAACAGTAGTTTCATGAGACAGGAGATGCCTCATCCATGCAGCAATAACAGGAAATGGAAAAGAGAAACAGAAAACGCAGTGTCCTTAGAAATTAATAACCATGTTAAAAATAAAATCCAAGGAATGAGTGGAAGATAGATTGAGGAAATCTCCCACAATGTAGAACAGAAAGATGAAAATTGGGACAGAAGAGAAAATTGGCAGATTGGCCCAAGCAGTCCAATGTATGAATATCGGAGATCCAAAAAGAAGAACAGAGTGAGAGAGAATTGAGATTTCTCAGAACCGAAGTACTTGAGTTTTCAGATTCAACGGACCTGAGTACCCAGCACAGAGAATGAAAATAGGTGACACCACCGTGAAATTTCAGAGTATCTGAGGGAAGAGAGGACGTAAGTCTTCGGAGAGGGAGGGAAAGAAGAGTACATGTAAGGGACTGGCTTTAGAATGACAGCAGACCTCACCGAGGGTGAGAAGATAATGGAGCAGTGCCTTCAGGGCTCTGGAGGAAAATTATTTTTCACCTAGATTTTTTTTTAAACATTGTGTTTATTTTTGAGAGAGACACAAAGGGCAATCAGGGGAGGGTCAGAGAGAGAGGGAGACACAGAAGCAGGCTCCAGGCTGTAGCTGTCAGCAAGAGCCCGACGCGGGGCTCCAACCCGTGAACCATGAGGTCATGACCTGAGCTGAAGTCGGACACTTAACCAACTGAGCCACCCAGGCGCCCCACACCTACATTTTTATATCCAGACTATCAATGAAATGTGAGGTTAGAATGAGTAGACATAGAGTTTCTGTAAAATATATCCTTCCCAGGTGGGCTTACTTGCTGGAGATGCATTCCATCAAAACAAGACAATTGTCCGAGAAGGAAGAAGACGTGGCACCCGGGAAACAGGTGCAGGAGTTGAGTGGCAGGAAGTGGAGGGGCGTTCCAAGGCAGCAGCGTTCTAGAAACGATTCTGTACAGATTTGAAGAGGGGGATATGGAGTTCCAGGAAGGATATTGCTAAGAAAAAATACACACCCATGGCCTTACCGCAGCATGCAAACAATTATGTGACGTGTCTGAACACTGTGAAGAGGTCCATGGTTGTATCTGCAAGCATAGGGACAAGTTAGAAATAAGTGCAAAAAGCTGAGCAGACAGTCACAACAAATGAAGCAGTTCTTTAGTCCAGGAAGAGCGAATTGTGCAAGGAAACGAACCCATAATACACTTCTATCAGTTGTGGCAATGTTTACATGATCACGACAAACACGGAATATCAGTGTGAACAAAATTGTTCCCACAGCTGTTGAAAAGGTAGGAAGGGGCGATTGGGGGGCTGGTGAGTGGGCTGTGAGAAAGGTGAGCCTTCCCAGTCCGTGGAACGAAGTCATTGTAGAAACAGGTCACTAGGACTCTTGCTAGCAGCGCATCACAGTCACCCGGAGGGCTCACCGGCTCCAGCCTCAGAGTCTCTGATCCAGTACGTCTGGATGGTGCCTGAGAATCTGCATTTGTAACAAATCCCAGCGACTGCTCTTTGAGACCCGCAGAGACACAGAGAAGTAAGGAAAATTCCGAAACAAAAGAAAACTGTTGGAGGTGTGTGTCTCTATGTAGTAAAACGGAAGGAGGTGGCATGCATGATGGCTGTGTCCCGGATGAAGCTTGTTAGTAGTGTCACCATGTTAAACTCTGTCCCCTGCACTGTGTATTTTGATGTTACGTTTTCACAAAACCACGGTAGATGACGTTACCTCCTCGCGTCTGAGTACACGCTCTTCAGAGAGACTCTTGGGCACTCCTGCAAAGCCCACGTCCTTTTCTTTTTCACAAAGCACTGACAAAGCAGATTAACTGCTGTGGGGACTCAGCCACAGGTGTCTGGGACTCTGTGTAAAGCACAGAACGGTGTGCCCACGTACCTTGGTATCTCTTGAGCCGGTGTCTGTCACGCTCTGCATCGTACTGTTCTTGCCATTCATAATAACCCCGACTCGTTCAGAAATGAGTCTTTGGTATCTTTTATTCAAGGAAGTAGGCGAAATTGATACCTTTAGATTTCATTTCAAGACGAAATAAGCATCAATTATCTAGAAAACTCCCTTCTGTAATATCTCATTGCTAAATTAGGTGTTGCCGCATGGTCACTTCAGGTCTGTAATTTACCTTTAGCCTGCTCTCTGGTGGAGAAATCCACGTTGTTCCCACCCCAGTGGTTTTACTGAATAATAAATAACCCGTTCTTCCTTGTAGCTCTGTTCCCACGTTGGCCGAAGAAGCCATCTTGAAGCAGAAATGTTTACTGACTACTGAGCTCTGAGGGTTCGGCTCCTCCTCACCTACAAGTGGAAAGCCCAGCACTCTGCCGCTGTCCGTCCTGGAATCAACTTCCGCAGGAATGTGCTGGATTCAGGAGCTTGTCCTTACTTGTGAGTTAAAAAGCTCACCTAGGTTAGACTTCAACTCCATGAAAAAACACTTTCCGTCCATCTGGAAGGGCTTAATTACACTACATATTTGACCAAATGAGGGGTATCTGGTCTTCTACTTCCTATAATTGTATTGAAGTTGGAAATTCCTGAAACAAGGAACTTTGCCTATGGTTTCCTTCAAACTCTTGGCTCCACCTAGTGGGTGTAATCATTCATAACCCCTCCGTAGCCAGCCATCCCTGATAGTCCGCATAGCCTTTTGAATGGCATTTCTCTCCCTCGTATCAGGATGAGTGTCCTTGACCTGAACGGCTGTTAGAGAGGGTGCTCTTACCCATGCAATACCTGGAAACCGAGAATTTAGGACATTAATGACGTTATGCAGGTAGATTAAGGCCTAGCTTGTTTACACTTACTGCCGTACGAAAGAGAAGTGTGGAATACGGAAGGTTTCAGGTGTCTCCCGTATTTTGACTGCTTACTGGACTGGCCGTCTTAATGCTCCCAGGTTCACATCAAGGTTAAGATAAACTGCATATTTTGCGTCATACTTTTTTCAGCCCTGCTTCCCTGTAGGACACACCCCCGTGCACCACACACATGCTCTGTAAGTTTTCAGCCCGGACAGAGACCGCAGCCCCGTCCCCACGCTGGTGCCAGCTGGACATCGACTCCGTTTCTGTGTAATATGGGTGAAATAAATTTGGAACTCCTAACTAAAGAAAATGAAACAAACAAACAAAAAAATGCTGGGACAGAAATAGGGAATCGGGGGAAGGGGGGTTTTGTTCCTTGTACACCTACCATGTCTGAAACTACTCTGCTTGCTGAAAGAATTTGTGTCTCACCTTACATTAGGAATTTTGTGCTACTTTAAAAAAGTCTCTAGAAGTTCCTTGTCACTTTTGGTACAAAAAAAAAAAATTCTGGATAGGAAAGTAGTATGTGCGCATGTAGAAAATAGCAAAGATGCAAAAATAACCACTTGCAATTCCAACATCCAGATAAACACTATTATTTTAGCTTTAGAACTTAAGAACACGTACGGCAAACTTCACTTGCTACTGAGAATGAGGATAGAGTGGAAACCACACTGGTATAGTTGTTAATCCCTGTGATCAAGGATTGACATCAAACTGTACCTCCTGGAATTTGACATTTCGTTTTCTGCCCTGTATTATGTATATAATCGAGGGTTTATGTTGCTCAGCATAAAAGAGCATCCATCCAGTTGAGTGACCTTGAACACTACGTGGTTTGGACTGTCCTGGGGTCCCTGTAGCACAGTCCTGTGCTCAGGCAAACACACGCTGGCGTCTGATTGGAAAGCTCAGGAATTTGAATAGTGTGCTATTTCCCGGGGAGCCGTCGAGTTTGGAAACCCCTTTGCACAGAACAGCTTTGGTGAAGTTGGCACATCTTGCCGCCTCTTAGCCATTAAGCTAAGCTCGTGAATTCCACTGGTGGATCTCTTGCCAGTTCTTAATAGTAAAGCACATTTTCTCGCAGCTGTAAGTGACAGCTAGACCCAGGGGCTCGGCCCGGGACATGCCGGACTGGCCATCAGATCTCCAGTGTGTGAGCGGCCAGCGCTGGAAGTGCCGGAAGGTTCAGGTCGCGCCTGTGACCACAGAACGGCTAAGGCATTACTAGCTCAGAAGGCCTCAACTTCCCAGCCAGCTTAGGAGCTAGCCCCAGTCTCATCTTGAACTGCTTAAAATGGAGGAATACGTTGTTAAAAATAGTCTGTAACCTCTGTGTCTTCAGGTACCTGTATTCTGGCCGGTTAGAATGTTGATAAGGGCTTCCTTAAAATGTATTTAAGTCTCAAGCTAAAAGGAGGAAACTTTGTCTTCTGTCCTGACATGAAGGGGTAAATGTGGAAACTTGTACTTCAGTGATGAATCAGCCCGGACAGTTTAGGTGCCTGTCCAGTGTAATCACTTCCCCGTCGTGTCTGCTGCTGCTGCCTCCCCCAGAGTTGCTGTGACACCGATCTCGTTCTGCTGATCTGAGAGTAGAGGGGAGAGGATTGCGGGGCTCAGGATATCTGTAAATGTGTCTGAGAGGGAAGCGAAAAGTCAGGCTCTGTGACTAGAGAGAAGTGCACAGAGTAAGGGACTTGAGGTGGTCCTGGATAGGAAGGCTTGGCTGATTACAGCTGGGGTGGCACTGCCCGCTGGTGACCTCCAGGGCACAGTCCTCCACTACGAAAGATGAAAACCCACCTGTACATCTGAATCCGCCGATAAACTAACTAGAGCTCGGGTCCTCAGATGAGCTGAAGTAGCCCGGGTGGTAATTCACAATGACAGCTGGCTGGGCGGGAAGTTTTTCTCTATGTAGAATGAGGTTCCCATGCACCTTAGTAAACACGGCTGAAGAGAAACACTGGCAATGTTATAATTAAGGCAGGAGGAATGAGAGCATATTCGGGAAGAGAGCGAGAACAATAGTTTATTTGAGCGCTCCAGCTGGAAAGCTGTTTGCACTCTTCCGTTGGAAAGGTGCTGGGAGGGGGCACCTGGATGGCTCAGTCAGTTAAGCCTCCAACTTCGGCTCAGGTCATGATCTCACGGTTTGTGGGTTCGAGCCCCGCATCGGGCTCTGTGCTGACAGCTAGCTCAGAGCCTGGAGCCTGTTTCAGATTCTGTGTCTCCCTCTCTCTCTGACCCTCCCCTTTTCACACTGTCTCTCTCTCTCTCAGAAATAATTAAAAATATTTTAAAAAAAAAAAAAGAAAGGTGCTGGGAGGTGATTTGCAGCCGAGATAACAGACCCAGATTGGCAGCGAATAGCAAGAGGCTGTTGGCCACAGGCTCAGCTCCTCTGTGGGCACGTCCTTCCCCGACTTTCCAGTTCCAGATCGGACTCCAGTCACTCATTAGGCTCAGCCGGGAAGGGAGGCGTCCCGAGGGCCTGAGGCTCGCCAGGCCTGGGTTGTTGCAGCTGCCCTGTCCCCAGGCTTGCTGTGCGTCCTGTCCCAGGGACACCGAGTACAGAGCCACGCAGCAGGTGCTGCTGCCGGCCTCTGGGGAGTGGAAAGGACAGGGCTCTGGGGTCAGGCCGTGGGACGGCCCCGGGCGGGGAAGGGAGAGGCGGCGAGGCACTTAAAGTGCGGTTGGGAGGCTTCCGCTATCAGCCCTCAGCTCTTCTTCAGAACCTGGGGGCTGATAAATGAGACCCTCTTTCTTGCTGCTGTCACAGTGTCCGCAGAGACCCGGGCAGGGCGCATCGCCCTCCCACGCCCGCCCTTCGGGAGACTCTGCGGAGCAAAGGAATGAGCAGGTTTCTTTGAGCTTGATGAATTCAGACTTGCCCTGAGCAGCTTTCTTAAGATGTTTATACGTTATAAGAAAATTTCTGCTTAAAAATATTTCTTACAACCTGTTTGTCTTCACCTTCATCTGCTTTTGCACAATCACACATACTCGTGGACAGTTAAGGATGAAGGCCCTGGGTTGTTCCTGGCATCTGCCTGTTCTCGTGTGCCGCCCAGTTTTGGCTAAAACCGGCACCTCTGTCTTCTCTTACACGAGCCCTGGAATCTCTTACAGGAGCCCTGGAATGAAAGCTCAGGTGTCGTTTCAGAGGCCTTTGTAGAGCAGAATTCTTCGGGAGTCACTTGCATAGAGAAAGCTCTTCCATATTTGTCTAGAAGGAAGGGTCCCGAGAAGCCTCCTCACTTAGAGCAGGGATGAACGAAGGTTTTCACAAAAGCAGCAAAGACCATGGTAAGTGCAGGGCTGGCTGTGTCCCGCGGAGGCTCATTTACAAAACAGGTGCCACTTCCAACTTCAAGCTGCGTGGCTGGCGCAGTGGCCCCCAGGAGTCAGGCAAGTGTAGCCATCTCTGGGGGACCCGACATGTCTGCACGCTGGCGTCCTCATCTGCGCAGGGACTGGGCGCAGTCGTGGGCCTCCCAGCTCTGGGCGTCTGTGAGGCGTCACCGCTTTCTCATTCATCTTGCCTGCAGCCTTTTGGTTGCTTGGAAACCTGGAATCTTCTGCAGCCCAAGGAATGTACATTACTATATTATTTGTCATCTTTCCCTCTCACAAATGTAAACACTCTGGTTTTTGGATGGTCAGACGAATGTCAGAAGCTCTTCCTATCTGTCAGCCTTCAGGATAAGGACATTTGTTGGGATTATAGAAGTGTGTCCTGAGACCAAGTCTGCCGTGTGAACATGTGCTCGAGCCAGAATTATTCCCTCTTTCAAGATGGGTTACGTGGGTCTCTCTGTCGTGCTGCTTGAGACACTAATTCAGTCACTTCCCAGGATTGCTTTTTATCAGGGAGGTGCTCTCCTATGCACCCCTTGCTCTTTTTACTTTCACAAATAAATTTTCTCACCTGGGTATGATAGTTTAAAGGACCTCACTAACTATTTTGTGTTTACTTTTTATATATGTAAAGCTTTGCAGTAGCTTTTGAAGTGTAATTTATTTTTGTATCAAGTGCACTATTCATCCATTGTGTCCCACAGCTTTACATGACCTGTATTAGAAGCACTGCCCCGAACCGAGTTGTTCGTATACTGACGTGACAACGTAGATGTGACCACAAATAAAGCTTTTGAGAAACACTGCTGTCGTTACGGGCTCTTCGATTCCCTGGATGGGCGATGCCTACAGGGAGCGTTTTCCGTCCTCAGCACCGTTGTTAGATCAGAGCCCATTAGCAGGCACATGAGGGAGCAAATGGAAGCCGTGCACAGCGTGCTCGGCGTTCAGTTTAGCACACATGTGCCAGATTTGGGAGCGGAGGCATTTTCAGATTCGGAAAAACCTGGTCGGTCCTTACCAGCACATCCCGGAAGGCCCAGTGGTCATTTCCAGAAGCAGCTACAGCAGAAACACAGCTCTGCTCAGTGAGGAGACCTTCAATTATGTAAGACACCCACACCTCAGTTCCTTCCCCTGGGGTGGGATGGCACCTTGTTATGTGGGGCAGCGTCTGGGAGAGGGTGGGTGTCCTCCGTCACACCATCCCCGGGAAGAACATTGCTGCTAGACGGAGTCATACTCACCACAGGAGATCAGTGAGGCTCCTGAGAACATTCTCTTCCCTGCTCCCCTCCTCTCCCTTCCACACGGAGGATAGACAGTAATGGGCCTTGGCAACCAAGGAGCTTTCCTTAGGCTCTAACGAGATGAGCAGGGAGAGAGGCAGGAACCTATGCTGGAAGCCCTCAAAGAGATTTGGCAATAAGCAACCGAAGTCACTCTGATGTAGGCAAAATGACTCCTTGGAAAGATCTGGGGAGTTCCCTGACCGATCTGAAAGTGAGGGGAATGGGTGCGGGAATGGTCTGGCTGCTGCCTGACCACCAGAGGGCACCCCCTGGCACCTTGAGTTGGGGACGGCAGGACACCTGAGAAGGCTGTAAATCCCCAAAGGCAAGGAGATGGTTACTGGGGCACCAAGACAATCACAGATTTGGGAGAAGACGCTGTATATGTTATCAGTTGTTAAAATGCAAAGAAAAAGAGCTGAGAAAATTCAGGAAATTATTAAAAATTATTCAGCTGGACTACAGCTGGATAATTGCTCTTTTAAGCCATGGAGATGTACAGGGCTTGCACTTTGAAAAGGAATTTCATGTTTCTACTCCCAAAGCATGTATTTGAATGTTATTTCTGTTCTGAAAATAGTAAACATTAAAAAGTGAACCCAGCCTGACCCACAGAAAGGGCCTTTGTGGTCAGTATCAAGGAAAGACAAAGAGAGCTCAGGTCAGCAAGGCCCAAGAAAACGAGCTCAGTGTTGGTTTGGGGGCGGCGTGCTGGCTTAAGGTGAATTGGCCCAGTGGACGTTCAACCCCGCCTGCTTAGGTTCCGGGGTTCCATCATGGAGGAGAGACCCTCAGGGGTGCAGAGAGGCCCTCTCTCCACAGCAGGGTCGCCCATACCCTCGCGGGCCCTGGCGGCCTACTCCCTTGCTTCCCGCAGTGCACCCTTCACACCTCCAAGTGCATCGTGCACAGACCAGAGCTAGCTCGCGCTCTTAAGCCAGGAAATTAGTTGGAGCGGGAGTAGCATCTCTGGGTGACCTGGTCCCAGTCTTCCGTGCACAGAAAAGAGGTCCAGAAAGGGAAGGAACTGGCCCTGGGTCGTAGGGCCACGGGCAGGAATTCTCACTCTCCTCCTCTCACCCTCTTCCCTCAGCACTGCTAGTCTTGGCTCCCCACGCCTGAGATGCCACAGAGCACGGTCTCCCCTTTTCTGTGGCACCCCGAGGCCCTTCCTTCCTGGGTCCCAAATTCCCATGGGAGAAGCTGACCCATGTCAAACCTCCGTGGCTCCGAGCAGAGTCTCCTCAGAAAGAAACCACAGCATGGATCTGGAACGACCCACATACCTTCACCCTTCAGGGCTCCAGAGCTCCTGGAACAGCCCCTTTCCTCCTCACGGGATCACTCCCACCTCGGAGTGATCGCTGCACGTTCCCCACGTGCTCCCCAATCCCACTGGTCCTGTCCTTTCAAGAGCTCTGAGTATCTCCTAGCTGGCAAGCCAGCAGAGTAGGTGTTCACGCGAAAGTCCCACCAGACACTCTGGGTTCTCTCGTGGTTTGCCATTGCTTCTTATTTATTTTTTCTGTACAAAAATCTTTAACATTTAAAAGACAGAGTCATAAATGTTTTACATTAGATCCTCAGCCCTTACTCATAGCTGTAATTTGGTGCCTTTTTACCAACCTCTCCCCATTTCTCCCTACACTAGCCCTCGACAACCACCCATCAGCTCTCTGTTGCCGAGCTTGCCTTTTTTAGATTCTACATATAGGTGATAGAATCCAATACGTGCCTTTCCCTGTCTGGTTTATTTCACTCAGCATAATGCCCTCAAGGTCCATCCATGTTGTCACAAATGGTAGGATTTCCTTCTTTCTCGTGGCTGAATAGTAATATCCCACTGTATTTAGGACTCATTTTCTTTAGCCATTCCTCCACTGATGAACATTCAGGTTGTCTCGATTCCTTGGCTATTGTGAATCATGCCACTAGTTCTTAATCAGTTTTAGGTTAGGGATTCTCTTACGCATCTGGACAGGTGGGTAGTTTTGCATACAATTCCACATGCTCATCGATCCCTTAACCCTCAGGTCAGAAGCTCCTGCTCAGGATGGGTGTATCTGGCCAGAGGAAGTATTGGGGGTAGGGAGGGGCAGACAGAAGGAGGGGTTCTCCCGGGCAAGCGCTGGCCAGCGGTAGGAGCTCAACAGATGCTTGCGAAAGGAAGGCCCGATGGCACACACAATTCTCAGCGTAGGAGAGTCAAGAACAGCACTTTAGGTCAACTGTTGAATTATGATAATATAAAAATATACCCTATCAGAGCGCAGCCATCAACCTTTCTGCCTCGCGCTTGTAAATGGGAGACTAGTACCTGCCTCATGGTGTGGCGAAGGTTACGTGAGTTCATACCAGAAGCCATCTACATGCTCATGGCCCCCAAGTCCCTACCTCCAACCCAGATCTCTGTCAGGACCCTCCTGGCTGCATGTGGATGTTACATGGGCACCTCAGACTCAAGCCAAATTTAAAGTCCTTCTCCTAAAGTTCCCCACCCCCACACATGCCCAGACTTCTGCTTCTCAGTGATTCCTGGTCTCAGTGAGTTGTTGACTGGCCCTTGATTCCTGTCTCTGTGTCCCCATGTTCCATCAGTCCTTGAGTCCTGCTCGGTCTGTCTCTGAAATGCCTCCTCATTTTTGCAGCCGCACCCCTTGACCAAGTCAGCATCTGGCTTGACTTGCATCAGGCAGTTGCCTTCATCAGGTGACTCCATTTTCCGGCTGTAGCTGGAAACAAGCTCATGCTCCTCCTTCTGCACGAAACCGGAAGGACCTCCAGTTGCCCGGGACAAGGAATTCAAACTCCTCTGCTGGCTTCCACAGCATGGCCGCTAGTGGCGCTGCCAGCTTCCACTCCTTTGCATGGCCTGCCCTCGCTCTTGACCGGCCTTCCCTCCATCTGCTGGGAACTCCGTGGTCCCAGGCCCCGTTCCTCGAGGCTTCTCGTCGAGGGCTCAGGTCGCACATCAGTTCCTCCAGATGTCCCCCTTTGCGCCCAGCATCAGCCCATCTCCACTCTCCGCACCTGTGAGTTACTTAACTGCCCTCCTGATAATAGAAGCTCACCCCTTGCTGCATCGGGGGCACCTAGCACGCTTCCTGGCGTGCAGTTGGTGCTTAAATAGTTGTTGAATGAAAGCTGGGAACCGGGGACATGACTGACACTGACCCCAAGACCTTGCAAGATCTCCCCTCAATGGTGCAGACACTCCTGCAACAGATGCTCCGCACGTTTCAGACCACGTCCCACCTGATCATTGGAAGAATTGGTGACACGAGTAGGCACACGGACAACCTGGAGAACAGCGTTGCAGACCTCGCGACACAGGCTGGGGCGGAAGGACTGGAAGGTGACAACAAAATACCTACCACGCCAAAGAGCTGAAGTTTGCTAACTTACCCTGGAATCCGGAACACTATTTTTACAAGCCAAGAGAAGAACAAATGGCTTTAAAAAAAAATTTTTTTTTAAACGTTTTATTTATTTCTAGGAGAGAGAGACAGCGTGAGCAGGGGAGGGTCAGAGAGAGAGGGAGTCACAGACTGAAACAGGCTCCAGGCTCTGAGCTGGCAGTCAGCACAGAGCCCGACGCGGGGCCCGAACCCACGAACCGCGAGATCATGACCTAAGCGAAAGTCGGACGCTTAACCGACTAAGCCACCCAGGCGCCCCTAAAAAAAAAATTTTTTTTAATGGTCCTTTTGAGAGAGAGTGAGCGAGAGGGAGATGGAGAATCCAGAGTGGGCTCTGTGCTGATGGCGGTGAGCCCAATACAGGGCTGGAACTCACAGACTGAGATCATGACCTGAGCTGAAACAGAGTTGGATGCTTAGCCGACTGAACCCCCCATGTGCTCCCCAAATGACTTTTTGAAGCAACCACTATCTAGAGACAGCTTTTCTATTATAACGTGTGCATTCTTCCTGCCATATACTCCACGAGCTTATAGAGTGATTTCCCTCCTGGTTTCTTGAACATGGTCACTTCACATCTGGGACCTTGGTCAGTTGTGCTGTTAAATATTAAACACTAACACTTCAGCAGTTCTTGCATAAAACTGTCACAATTTTTATTGTAAAAAAAATTGTTGAATGAATGCTAAACCCATTAAGCACCTACTCTGTTCCACGGACCCCACTCGATCCTTAATTCAGGTTTCGCCATTTACTCCTTACCACGACTTCTGTGGTCTTAACGAAGAACCAGGAAGTGTGGCTGCCGGTGGGTGTTAGACCAGGATTTGAGCCACATCTGGATGACGCTCAGCCTGGATTCAGCACATCCCAAGCCTCAGGCCTTCACATACAGGTCACCAATCGTCCCGGCATGCCTGGGACTGAGGGGGTGCTGGGACGTGGGACTTGCAGTGCTAAAACCAGGGACGTCCCAGGCGCACCCGGACAACCTATCGCTCACCTCACTGTGTTAACAGACTGCAGTGTCGCCACATCTGTGTGTTACTTAGAACTTCCTGTGTCATCATTTTTACCCACTCGCTTTCCCATGGGCTTATCCTAAAAGGCAAATCACAGTTGTGATGGGCTGGTTACAGTGTTGCTGACGTGCGGTAAGAGGAAAGCAGTTGGTCTGTTTATCCATAAAGTTATCTCAAGAGCTCCGGGGTGAGCCTGGCCTGTGCTGTGAAACCCTGTCCAACCTTGCGCTTCCCCAGACCCACAATCTGTCCTTCCAGCCTCTGGGCTCTCTCTGGGAAGCCCCGGGCCTGCCTGCCTGGATCTCGGTCCAGCAGGATCCGTGCTCACTAGGGTGTGGGGGTTACCTCCTTCAGTACACAGGGTTCCCCCGAGGGCCGTCTCCCTAAGATACTGGTGAACGAGCCTCCTATTACTGACATCCGGGGGTGTGTGTGTGTGTGTCGCGGGGGTTGGTGAGCAGTGCGTCTAGGCCATAGCTGGTACACTTGTCCCGGTCATGATATGGACCCAGGTGTGCCCGCTTATCTCCAGCGGAGCCAGAACATAGACCCAGCTCCTTAGGAAGACCTGGTTGATTTGGGCTAGTCTTGGGACCCTCTGCTCCCTTAGCAAGCAGAGTGCTGAGGGCTGCGTCCTGAGCCCTTTGACCTCTGCCTTGACGCTGCCTGTCATTCTAGAGCTGCCCGCATCTAGGTGGCTCTCCCCACCAGTTCCACAGGGGGGCGCTGTAGCACCACAGTCAAGAAATAGAACACCTGCAATAGCCTGTCAGCCTGGGTCTCTTCCAACTTTGTATTCATCAATTCATTCAACAGTTATTGACTGAGCATCTACTATGTGCTAGGCTCCCTCTTAGATATTCGGTGCACGGCAATGAGCGTCCACCACAACAGTTCTGCCTGCATGGAGATTCCGTGCCAGCAGTGCTCTCCCAGGCCATGCTGCTGACCCAATGAGGCTGATCGTCCTGCCTCCAGATTTTCTGGAGCCGCCTACATGGCTCTGCTTAGAGCTTTGGAGCTCCCTTCTCCCTTACCCCAGATTAAGATATCACAAGAAAATTACAAACCAACATCCCTTATAGATATAGATGCAAAAATCCTCATCAAAATACCAATAAACTGAATCCAGCAGCATAGTAAATGGTTGTACACCATGACCAAGGTGGGGTTATACCAGGAGGACAAGGTGGTTCAACACAAAAATACCAATGTAATACAACACGCTAATAGGATGAAAGGGGAAGAATGATCATCTCCATTAACACAGAAACGTGTTTGACAAAATCTTACACGCTTGCATGAGAAAAACAGAAAACTAGAAGTTCAAGGGAAGTGGCTCAGTGTGATAAAGACCATATAGGAAATAACCACGGCTAACACCAAACTCAATGATAAAGTGCTGAAAGATCTCCCGAAATCAGGAACAAGGCAAGTGCCCAGTTCACGACTGCTATTCAACATGTACTGAAAGTCCTAGGCAGAAAATCAGATAAGAAAAGGAAGTGAAAGGCATCTAAATCGAATTGGAAGAAACAAAACTGTATATGCAGATGACATAACCCCATGTATAGAAAATCCCAACTATCTGCAAGAAAGCTACTAGAGCTAGTAAATATTCAGTCAAGTTTCAGGGTACAGGATCCACACACAAAAATGCACTGTGGTTCTTTACACTTGTAAAAGCAATAAGAAAAAAGATATTAACAAGACAGTTCTGTTTACAATAGCATCTAAGAGAATAAAATAACTAGGGCTAAATTTAACCAAAAATAAGAACTTCTACGCTGAAAACTAAAAACAAAACAAATGTTGAAAGATAAAGCAGACCTAAATAAGTGGAAATATATGTTCATGGGTGGGGAGACAATATTGTTAAAAAGTCAAAAACATCCCAAAAGATTTACAAATTCAATGCAATCCCCAACAACTTTCCAGCAGCCTTTTGTGCAGAAATGGAAAAGCCTATGAAATTCATAAGGAATTTCAAGGGATCCTGAGTAGCCAAAACAGTCTTGAAGAAGGACAAAGCCATAAGATTCACATTTACTGGTTTGAAATTTTACTACAGGGAGCCTGGGTGCCTCATTTGGTTAAGTGTCCTGCTCTTGATTTTGACTCAGGTCATGATCTCACGATTTGTGAATTTGAGCCCTGCTGTGAGCACGTGGAGCCTGCTTAGGATCCTCTCTCCCTCTCTCTCTGCCCCTCCACCAAGTTCTCTCTCTCTCTCAAAATAAATAAATAAATAAATAAATAAATAAATAAATAAATAAAACTTACTACAAGCCTACAGTAATCAAATAGTGTGGTAGTGGCCTAAGGCTAGACATACAGACCATTCAATAGGGAAGGGATAGTTTCTTTTATAAATATTTTATTATAATAAATATCTTATTTATTTCTGAGAGAGAGACAGCATGAGCAGGGGGGGGGTCAGAGAGAGAGATACAGAATCTGAAACAGGCTCCAGGCTCTGAGCTAGCTGTCAGCACAGAGCCTGAAGCGGGACTCGAACCCACAAACCATGAGATCATGACCTGAGCCGAAGTTGGAAGCTTAACCGACTGAGCCACTCAGGCGCCCCAGGGATAGTCTCTTAAGTGATGCTGGGACAACTGAATTTCCACTTGCAAAAGAATGACATTGGATCTCTGCCTCAGTGTCCACAAAAATGAACTCAAGTGGATCAGTGACCTAAATATACAAACTAAACCATACAATTCCCAAGAGAAAACTCAGGTATATATTTTCATGACCTTGGATTTTGCAGTGGGGTTTTAGATATAACTCCAAAAGCATGAGAAACAAAAGGAAAATGGATAAATTCACCTTCATCAAAATTAAAAAACTTCTGTGCCTCAAAGGATGTTATCAACAGAGTGAAGACAGTCCAGAGAATGGGAGAAAATATTTGCAAATCACATACTTGATAGGGAGTTAATACCCAGAATGTATGAAGAGAGAAAATTCAGCAATAACAGGATGAATAACCCAATTAGAAGACGGGCAAAGGACCCGGATAGACATTTCTCCAAAGAAAATATACAAATGTCCAATAAGCACATGAACAGTTGCTGAATATACTTATCGTTAGGGAAGCAATCAAAACCGCAATGAGATGCCATCTACTGGCATGGCTATCATAAAAAAAGAACTAAGTGTTGACAAGGATGTGGAGAAATTGGAAGCCTGATACATTGCTCGTGGGAATGTAAAACGGTGCAGACACTGTGGGAAATAGTTTGGCACTGCCTCAGAAAGCTGAAGAGAATTATCGTATGATCTAGCAATCTCCCTTCCAGGTATGTACTCAAAAAAATTGAAAACAAGGCCTTGAAGAGATCCCTGTGTGTTGCCGTTTGTTGCAGCCTTATTCACAATAGGTAAAAGGAGGGCACAACTCAAACGCCCATCAGCGGACGTGGATAAACAAAATGTGGTCTATCCACATGATGGACCAAAAAAAGAGTGAAATTCTTATAGAAGCTACAACGTGGATGAACCCTGAAAACAAGCTAGATGAAAGAAGCAGACCCAAAAGGATGAATACGCTATGATTCCACTTACCTGAAATATCTAGAATTGGCGAACTCATAGAGACAGGGTTCCTGGGGAGTTGGGGAGAGAAGGGAATGGGGAGTTCTTGCTTGATGGCTACAGAGTATGTGTCTGGGATGATGGAAAGGTTTTGGAAATGGATAGAATGGACAGTTGCACAACTGTGTGAGTACAATGAATGCCACAGAATTGTATACTTAAAAATGGCAAAAGTGGCAAACCTTCTTGTATATATTTATAGATGCGATTAAACAAAGAAAGAATTCAGGCCAATGATGTGGGAAGAGAAAGCTGCTGGAAACCTTCTGGGAAAGGGTTTCCTCATTCTCAGCAGAGAGCCAATGGATGTGATGCTCTCTCTCATGTCGCTGGGCCCTGCCGTGGCCAT